TCAAAGAGGAAGAAATCGCGATCAGCATCCTCAGCTTTTTTCCCCCATCCCAAGAGCTTGGCTCAGGCTCCTTAAACTAATATTTGCCTCTCAGCCCTTGGCAGCCACAGCTGAAGGTAAATATTGGTTTAGCCTGGGAAGCGGAAGCCCCAGATGGCAGTGTCGTCCTCAGCCAACCAGAGATGGCTCACACTCTTGGAGCTACCAAGCTTAGGCACAGTCTGGAGGGGGACCTGACCCAGGGCTTATCTACGGAGAGGCCCAGGCCTCTCCCTGCAGGGCAGCCAGGCTGGCCCGCCAACCCCAGAGATGGCCCAGCAGCAGCCTGGCCTCAGAAAGCTTACCCTGAGAGTTTTGTACATTTCTCTCCTCAGTAGGCAGGCGGGGTCGTTTACCAAGACTTGGGAACCTGGGCAAATGTTGGAAAGAAGCAAATGCCAAGCGTCCTTGGGAGCCCCCACCTAATGCCCTCCTGGGCTCAGCCCTACCATTTTGATGTGGCAATAAATCATCTAACATTGACCTTGTGCCCAGATCAGCTTGGGACATCTGAATTCCAGGCCCAGCCTGGCTTCTGACTGACTGGGAGAATTTGGACAGGCCCCTCTCCATCTCTGGGCCACATTTCCTCTTACTGAAAAATTTGACAACACAGAAGCTGCTAGAAACTTTCTACTTTCATGGATCACCCACCTGTGCACACCGCTTTTCTACAAGTCACCTACACCTTTCCACTTCACCCCCTCCCTGAAGGATCTGCTCCCTAAAAGACTGCTAATTCCCTGCCTCTAGGCCTATGCACACCCCTCCTGCCTGGCCTAAATTGTTCCTCCTCAACCAGTCCATTCTTTTCACCTCTTTGGTTCCTGACTTAAAACTCGTCTCTTACAGGAAGTCCTCCTGGATTGCTCCCCAGCTGCATTCCCCCACCCCCACTCCAGTTTTGTTTTTTGTTTTTTTATCCTCACCCGAGGACATTTTTTAATTTTTTGTTCAGATAGAGTAGGAGGGAGAGAGAGGAAGAGAGAGAGAGAGAAACATCAACGTGAAAGGGACACATGGAGTGGTTGCCACCCACACGACCCAACCAAGGCCGGGAACAAATTGTAACCGACATACGTGCCCTTAGTGGGAACCGAACCCGGGTCTCTCTGGACTGCAGGCCGACGCTCTAACTGCTGAGCCAAACCGGCCAGGGCCCCACTCCAGTTTTATTCTTCAGCCACACTTAATTGCAGAATTGGATTTAGATCGCCTCAGAACAATATATATGGTATGCTTCCCAATGTAAACACTCTTTAAAGAGAAGGGTTTCCAACTTGTGTCTCCCCCGCCCCTGGACAATGCCTAGGCTGTGGTGGTCACCAAGGGGTGCCCAGAAGCACCCTGTAAGCAGATCTTGGCTCAACAGCTTTCTACCAGGAAACATGGCTCCTCTTCCTGAGCCAACATTTCTGAGAGGAGCAGAAAGAATTTGAAAAACTGGGATAGGAGCTTATCTCTCCAAGTATTAATCACCCCATAAAACGTGTATTTATTTAGTGCTGGCAGGTCCTTCTTCCTGGAGGTAGGAAGCTGTTACTCTTGGAGAACCAGCCAGGCTTGGACCAGAGCACCCAGGGGAAGAGGGTGATCTGCAGAACAGGAGCCTGGAAGGCCTGAAGCAGGCCGGTGGGGGCCATAGCGTGGGCACCAGTGGACTTGGAGGTGTCGATCAGGGAGGGACAACAGTCCTGCCTCCACTCTGTCAGGGAAGATGACCTAACTCTCAAACCTACTATGTGCCAGGTACCCCAGGGTGTCTCTGGTTTGAGGAGCAGACATGGGATAGGTGGGGTTTGTAGGGCTTTGGCCACAGGTTCCAGAAAAAGACAGGAGAAAAAGGGGCAGGCTTGGCAGGAGATCTCTGAAGATGAGACACTGGTTTGGGGGAGAATCACCCCAGGAAAGACAGGCCCGTCCCCAGAGCCACCAATAAAGTGCGATGTCTTTAGAGGAGGGAGGGAAACCCAGAGGGGCCAGAAGCGCCCGGCTGGAGGGCAGGCTCAGGAGGACACAGGTGCCCAGAAGTGGCAGGCACGAAGAGAGAGGGGCATGGGAAGTGGGGAGGAGAGGGAAGAGAAGAGGGAGGAAAACTGACCCTGAGACTACACAGGGCAGTGGGCAGGGCAGCGGGCAGGGGCATGCATAGAGCAGCATGCCCACCACCAAAGATATCTTGGATGGATGGATCTCTCTTTTTTTTGTTTTGTTTTGTGTTATCCTCACCTGAGGACATTTTTGCATTTATCTTTAGATAGAGCGGGAGGGAGAGAGGGAGGAAGATAGAGAGAGAAACATCAATGTGAGAGAGACACATCGAGTGGTTGCCACCCACAGGACCCCAACCAGGGCCGGGGACAAACTGTAACCAAGGCACATGCCCTTAGCGGGAACTGAACCCGGGCCTCTCTGGTCGGCGGGCCGTCGCTCTGACCATTGAGCCAAACCGGCCAGGGCTGAATCTCTTTTTTAAAAATCCATTTAAGAAGAATAAAGTGAAGAGATATTTTAATCTCCCAATTGAATTTAGGGGCCATAATCAGTGTTTGAAAACGCCCAGGGATTATGATGATTTACAGCTGGGACAGGAATCAGCTGGGGCCTCAGCCTTATTGGGTGTACAGAGAGGAGCCTGCTGGGAAATCCAAATGAAGCTGAAAATGCTTCGTAAAAACCCATTTATAGTCAAAGAGGGGGAATGGAGCTGGGCCAGGGCGGTGTCTGGGCTCTGCCCCAGGGTGGGGCCCTTCAGACTACTCTCCAGGCCCCTCCCTCAGCCCTCGAAGTTCCATCTCACCTGGCATGTCCCCTTCATCTCCACTCCCCCCACCTCCTCCCCCCACCTCCTCCCCCTACCTCCTCCCCCCACCTCCTCCCCCCACCTTCCTGGAACTTGAAGACCCAGCGTAAGCCTCCTCTTCCAAGAAGCCTTCCTAGACTCCATCCTCCCCACTGACTTCTCCCTCCTCTGACTTCCTGCCTCCCTTCATGCTTAAACCCACTGGAGGATACCGGGAAAGGCGCTGCTTTGGGCATCAGAACACCCAGTTCAAGTCCCAGTTCTGTCACATCCCTACACAGGCAAGCCAGGTCTTCTGTGGGCCTCAATTCACCCCCAGTCAAATGAGGATCAAACCACTCCCTCCAAGCCAGCTTCTAAGAGGTTAAATGAGATAACTGGAGGGAAACCATTTTGGCAGATGGAAGGGATCCTATGACCACACCATTTAGCAATTTACTGTCTTAGGTTATGCCCTCATGGTGTCTGGAGTGTCTGCCTTGTCTTCCCTGATTTCCAGTGAGCCTGGGGCTGTCTGTGAGCAAGGCTGGGTCTACCTCAGCAGCCCCCACACGCTTGCCCTCATCTAACAAGTCAGCCCATGGGTCCCAGCACTCTCCCATGCCCACCCTGCAAATGTTCCCCAGCATCCTCCACGCGCCCGGCACAAGAGTCCACTCTGGAGAGGAAGCTGGCTGGCTGAGACACGGGTTCCTCCCTCCGAGCCCTCTCCTTTCATGTGGGAACAGACAAATGGATGGACCAAGGTTCAGCCAATGCCTCAGCACTTAGCGAAGTGCAGGTGCCAGGCGGCGGGACACAAGGACAGGAGAAGAGAATCCCACCCCAGAAGGCTTCAGGGAGGAGGTGGGCCTTGAAGCCCGTGTGGGAATCTGATCTTCGGGGGCTGTGAAGAAGGGCATTCTTTGCTTAAGGGAAAGCAAGAATGTTACCCCCTCTTCCTTTACCCCGAAGCCCCCAAACAAACTGACGTTCTAAAAAACTGAGACATCCTTCTGTCTCCCACCATGTGGCCAAGCCCTGGGCTAAGTCACAGTTTTCCTAACCACTTTACAAATGAGAAGACTGAGGCTCAAACAGAAGTGTTGGAGCACAAACTCAAGCTTGGGGAAACCAGTGCCTTGAGGAGTGGGCCCTGAGGATACCAGAGCGCAGGAGGCTGTTCTCTGAGCCTCGGGTTAAGCAGTGCCCACTCCAAGATGAGTGGACAGGACTGAGAGCCACTGAAAGCCTACTGTGTGCCAGCTGCTTCACATAACTCAGCTCCTTGAGCCTTCAAAAGAACCCTGAAAACAGTTATTATTACCCCCATTTTATGGATGAGGAAACTGAGGTCTCATAGCATTAGCTATACTAATAGGGTGAGGCCAGGGTCCATCCTGGGTCTGACTCTCGCCCAGAGCATAACCACTGCCCTCTCTGTGGCTGGCATGTAGGAGCCCTGGAGGGGCCCCACTTCACAGAAGGCATGGAAAGCAGATTAGCCTTGGGCAGCCTGGCTGGGCTCTCTGCTTCACTTGCTGGGCCCCAGAAGAGTCTTAACATGTAAATATAGAAACACGTTTACTGAGCTGAAAACCAGAAAGTTCCCAAACTATTAATTGATAAAAAAAAACAGCCTCCTTGTTTTTGGAACTCAACAAGCAGAAAGGCTTCTGATGACTACTTTTTCTTTGTTTTTACATTCACAGTGTTTTTTCCCATCCTGTCTACTCAAATAAAGGTGCTTCGAAAGGAAGGGCTCCACCGCCTCTGGTCTCTGAAGTCAGGAAGGAAAATGTGTTCCCAGCGCCCACGCTGCAGGGATGGGAGGCGGGAAGAACGGGCACCGGCCGGCCGTGCACTGACATGGTGCCTAGGCCTGGGCTGGGCACTGCACTCACAGCCTGTTCAACTGAATTTAACCTTCCCACCAACCCATTTTATAGAGGAGACAGCTGAGGCTCACACAGGCTCCTTCTGGAGACACAGCCAAGCTGCCACGGGGCTGATCTGTACCCAGAGTCTACGTGCACAAGTGCAGCGAGGTGGGAGGGATCCTGGACCAGGAGTCATGCTGGGGGCCCAGGGGCAGCCAGAAGAGTCTTAGCTCCCCTTCGAATCACAGCCCCGGGAGGTGTGCCCTGCACCTGAGGGGCCGGAGAGAGCGGGCACTCACCAAGCAGCTGGACGCCCCGCGTGAGGCCGTAGACGTCCACCAGGGCCCAGAGTGGGTCGGCTGTGCGGACCCCGTTGAGGAAGAGCATGGCGGCCGAGTCGTTGATGCGGTAAAACACACGGCCCTTCTTGTCCACCCAGAAGGCGATGATGTTGCCCTCGCTGGCAAATTCCTCGGGCAGCGCCTTGGCCCAGAAGCCGCTCTGGGAGACCAGGTCAGGGCAGGCGTACTTGGGCAGCGAGTCAGGGTGGATGCGGGAGGGGTCCTTGCTCGTGAAGCCCAGGCGCAGCGCCCCACTCCAACAGCACTGCTTCTTGGTGATCTGGACAGTAGGGGTTGGCCTCAGACAGCCCGCAGCCCAGCCCAGCCTCTCCCCAGCTTCAGTGAGCCCACAGGGGAAGGAGGGTGCCCTTGTCTACAGACCACCCCCTCGGCAGACACCCACGGAGAGTCACACTGCCCAGCCTGCCCCCATTTTGGGCTCCTTTCCCTCCCCAGGAGCCTTCCCACCAGCCTGGTGAGAGCTAGTGGTCCCCATGGCCACTCCCTACCCCCTTCCTTCTTTGCCATGCAGGGAAGGTTGAGAAAGGAGTAAGGAAGAGGGAACAGAAAGAGGGGAGATGAGGAAGAGCAGAAGTGGTGGAGAGAAGAAAGAAGGGCCGGGTGTAGTAATGGCTGGAACAGAAGGCAGTGACGGGTGGAAGGGGGACAACGTTCTGAAGCCCAGGGGGACGCAGTGACAGAGAGCAGGGAGGGAAGCCCCACCTTCAGCCTAACTTGCTCGTAGATGAGGACCGGGCGGTTACTGAAGGTGATGGCATTGCAGAAGCTGGCCTGCCTCTTGACGGCCTTGTGGCTGAGGTCCATGAGGATCTGGGAGCCCTTGGTGTGTGGATGGAAGAGCAGCGGCGTGGCCAGGAGCACCCCACCTGGCAGCACTGGTGGGCAGTGCTTCTGCTTGTGGTGGCATCGGTGAGAGGTGACAGGGAAGGGACCCCCAATAGAGTCTGCAAAAAAAAATAAAAGACACAGTGTGAGAGAACTTGGCAGCCCAGAGCTGGGCTAGGGTCTCCTAGGAAAGGGCAGATGGATGGGACATAAGCAGAAGTCACCCACCGCCTAGTATTTCCAACATCATAGTATTTCCAGTATTTCCACCACCACTGCCACCTTTTGTCACTATCCTTCTCCTACTCCTATCTACTGCTATTTCCCACTTCACCGTCTACCATCATCTCCCCTCATCCTACCCTTGCCCTTCACCCATCACTTCCAACCACCATCCACCCTCATCCTTCACCCATCATTTCTAATCACCATCTACCCTCATCCTTTACCCATCACCTCCCACCACCACCACCTACCCTTGTCCTTCACCCATCACCTCCCACCACCACCACCCACTCTCAACCTTTGCCCATCACCTCCCACCACCACCACCTACCCTTGTTCTATAGCTATCACCTCCTACCACCATCTGCCCTCATCTTTCATCCATCACCTCCCACCACCCTCTGCCCTCATCCTTCATCCATCACCTCCCACCACCACCATCCCATTGTCTACCCTCACCCTTCACCCATCACTTCCCACCATCATCTACCCTCATCCTTCACCCATCACTTCCCACCACCACCACCTACCCTTGTCCCTCACCCATCACCTCCCACCACCACCACCATGACCAAGGACAACAGCTACCATCCACTGTTTCTTACTAGTATTTATCACCATCTACCTTCCACCATCAACCTTTGTGACAAATCAGCATTTACTACCAGCATCCACCACCATGCATTGTCACTCACTATCATTATCATTTATTTGTTCCAATAAATATTCACTATGTATCTGCTGAATACCAAGCCCTGTCCTAGGCACTGGAGGTATAGGCATGAAACATGTATGGATCCTGTCCTCAAGAAGCCAATAGTCCAGAAAGAGAGATAAGACATGGACAGAAATCACAAGTGGTCGGCAGTGATAAGTGCCAAAAGGACATACAGGCAGGTCACTTCTCAGAGAGGCTTCCTGGAGGAGGGATGGAGGAGGAGGGGTGGAGGAGAAGGCAATGGAGCTGGGACGACAAGACTGGGCTGTAGTGAACAGGTGACCATGGGCTGCCACTGGAGACCACGGAGGTGGGTCAGGCAAGTTCTGCGTCCCTAGGTTCACGCCCATCTCTTCCTTCCTTCACGCCTACTTCTCTCCAACCCAGGTTGCCTTCCTACTTCACCCTGGTTGTGTCTGCACCTTGGACACAGGTGGCCTCTTCACCCAGGCTTCCTAATGGAACTCAGATCCGTCTCAAGAACCTCTGGCCAGGGAGGCTGAGCTCTTTTCTTTCTTCTACAGACAGTTCCACTGTACCCCAAAATGAGATAGAGTATGGGACAGGGCTTGGTCCAGGAAATGGCACTGGAGAAACATGTAAGGTTGGTGTCCAGGAGACAAGGCAGAGAGAAGGAAGAACACAGGACAAGATGTCATACGGTTGGCGTCTGTCACTACTGGCCATGTGACCATGGGGAAGTCACTTCCACTCTCTGACACAGTGGGTGGCCTCTAGCCTGTGGCTCTAAGCCATGTGAATGGACAGATCAAACGTGGTACACCCACACAATGAACCACTCTGCAGTGAAATGAGCAGAACTATGATACAATAAGCAGGAACCTCAAGAGCATGTAAGTGAAAGAAGCCAGGCTCAAAAGGCTACATCGGCCTGATTCCATTTGTATGACATCCTGGACAAAGCACACCCATAGAGACAGAAAGATCAGTGGGGATCGGAGTTTGCTGAAGAGGAAAAGAGTGACTACACAGCAGCAGGGGATGTTTTTATGGTGACATAAATGCTCAATATTCTTATTGTGGTAGTGGTTATTAACTTAAAATTTTGTCAAAACTCACCAAACTATTCACTTTAAAAAAGTTAATTTTATTGTCTATAAATGATATCTCGACAGGAACGTGATGACTAACAAAGCAGGCCTTCACTAAGATGGAAGAAAGGGAGGCTGGAATCTCCGACCAACTCAGCCCCCACCCCCCCTGCAGGCAGTGCGCAGGATTTGAACTATCTAACAGGAGACCCCAGAGCCTGGTCCAGCCTGCCACTCTCAGCCTTAAGAGTGAGGTGGTGTGCTCTCCCTGACCTCTCTGGATATGAGGAGAGGTATGGGTGTGATCAGCTCCCACCAAAATACCGCTGTGGGGATGACGTGAAAATCCTCTCCGTCTTGCTGAGCATCTCCTGCCCATGGACCCTACCTGAACTCCTGACCCTGACCCTCCAGCCCCACCACGCTCCTGGGCCCCAGTGGAGGCCTCGGGCACCCAGCGCCCAACCTGCCAATCCCACCACAGAAATCAACATCCCAGGCTCTGCCCTCTTCTGTCCTCCCTGCTGCCATGGCCTAGCCCAGGCCTCATCATTTCTCGCTGAACAAGAGCCAAGGCCACTGTGTGTAGCCACGTGGGCTCTGCCCTGCTCACCTCCAGGGGACAGCATTCTCATGGATTACAATCGGAATGGTGCCCTCAGAGATGTGCAACATGGCAGCCCTGACCAGGGGGAGCACCACCTCCCCAACCCCTGCTGCCCTGCTTCTGCTATCTGCACCCTCCATCTCAGCTAGCATTGTGATCTGGGGGGAGGGAGGAGAGAACGCAAAATGAGAATCGACCCTGAGAGCAGCTCTGATACCAAGGACCACCTGGGGGCGGGGCTTCTTTCCTGTACCACCCAAAAAGGCTCCCTCCCTCCACTCTGACATACACCATGACCGCTTGAGGTCCCCACTCTGTGGGTGAGTGAGCTGCGATTCAGACTGGTGGGCCAAGTTGTTTGAGATCACACAGCAGTTAAGTGGAAGAGCTGAGACTTGAACCCTGGTCTTCCAATGCCATGGCCAGGGCCCTTTACCCTACTCGGCATCTAATATGAGTGTTCATTTTCCCCAAGTCCAAGATGGCAGGCGTAGTGGGGAAAGGCTGGTGGAGGAGGCGCTGGCCAGTCCCAGCAGGACCTCCATATACTGGGTCTGTGCACAACTGCTCCCCCAGTGGACAATGGTCCTGGGTGGAGCCCCGATCTCACCAGCTGGCTCCCAGTAGAGCTCCTCCTGGGTGCCCCCACCTTAGTGACAGGTTTACAAGCTCCTCAGGAGCCACAGGCCCCCCCCAACAGGCAAGGCTGCTGCTGACACAATGGAAACCCCCCAACAGTCCATTCCTCCTGGGCATTTATGAGTTGCCAGACAAAAACCTGGCAGGCCCTTCAGGTGACCCTCAACCAGATCCAGACCACATTCCTGCCTCTCAGTGGGGTCCCAGGGAGATGCCCAGACACAACGTGACCTCCAAAGTGACCTCCTCACTCTCCCTGCCAAGCTCTGTCCCAGACCATCGGAGCTGGGGTGCCAGGGAGAGACAGCAAGGGAGCAACCCTAATGGCAATGACCAACTTCTATGTGGCTTAAGAGGCAATGTCGAATCTGACACAGGTCCTCAGAAGAGAAGGTACTCACCAAGGTCAAAGTAAAGAGCCCAAATTGGAACCCGGACCTGCTGTCTCCAAACCCAGCAGCTGTCACTAACTGTGAGAACTCCGGGAGACTCACTTTTCTCATCTGTAAAATGGGGGTCATGGCAGACTTCCTTCATAGGATTCTTGGGAAGATTAAATGATTAAATGTATGTAAAACAAAGCCAGTAAGTGGTTGCTATAACAACAATAGTTATTAATAATAATTAACAATTAATATATAATAGTTATTGATAACAATTAATACATTGTTATTCAACCCAGCTGAATCTCCCTGAGTTCAGGATCGCCTTGTTCTGAACCCAGATGCTGTATACCGGTGCTGACCCTCTGCGTCACCTATGAGAGAGGCTTTCTCACTCTCGACAGTGGGGCAGAACAAAGAGCTGGAGCACTGGAGGCAGGCAGTCCTGGGTTCAAACCCTGGCCATGCCACAGACTTGCTGTGTAACTTTGGGCAAGTCATATCACCTCTCTGGGCTTTAATGTGTTTCTCTGTAACACAGGGCCACCATAGCTGCCCTACCCACCTCGCCAAGTTGTGGTGAGGACTCAGTGAGTTCACAGATTCTGAAGAATTTTACAAACTTTAACACCTGATCCCAACATAAGGTTTTATTTTTATTTTACTTATTTATTTATTTTGTATAAAAGCAACCACCACCACCCGAGGAAAGGATCAGCTCACTTCAGTCCAGGCACTTGTGTTTTATCTTCTCCCAAATGCCCTAACCCCAGAGGTCAGGGTGCTCCTGACGTGGCCTAGTTTATGTGCATTCATGGAGCAAGGCTCCCTCTGGTGAAAAGACTTTGGGAGCCAGTGTAAGGGTAGGGGAGCAGGTGGGAAGCGGGCTTGGGTAAGAGGGAGGACTGTAAAACTGGGCAGATGTAAACTCTGGGTTCCTTCAGGGGGTGCACTTTCCTCATCTGCTTCTTGCCTTCAGGCATGGCCCAAGCCCATTTCTCTGCTGGAAACTTTCCTTTTTTCCTTTTCTCTTTTTCTTAATTTATCTTTACTGTTGAAAGTATTACAGATGTCCCTCCTCCTTTTTCCCCCCCTTGGCCTCCTCCTGACCTCCCTCCCCGCCCTGCCTTCAGTGTTGTCTGTGTCCATTGGTTAAATATATATGCATAACAGTTCTTTGGTGTATCTCTTCCTGCCCTCCCACCCCTTCCCTCTGAGGTTTTTCAGTCTCTTCCCTACTTCCATGTTTCTGGATCTATTTTGCTTGTCAGCTTATTTTGTTCATTATATTCCACAAATAAGTGAGATCATGTGATACTTGCCTTTTTCTGACTGGCTTATTTCACTTAGCATAATGCTCTCCAGGTCCCTCCATGTTGTCTCAAGGGTAAGTGATCTTACTTTCTTACAGCTGCATAGTATTCCATTGTGTACATGTACCACAGCTTTTTATCCACTCATTGACTGACAAACACTTGGGCTGTTTCCAGATCTT